GTAGCTCACCACCAGGGAGCTCGTCACCAGGTAGCTCACTACCAGGGAGCTCGTCACCAGGTAGCTCACCACCAGGGAGCTCGTCACCAAGTAGCTCAACACCATGCAGTTCGCCACCAGGGAGCTCCATCATCCTTTGAGTCACAAGCCACCTGAAAGCATGTCAAATGACGAAGTACTTAACCAAAAATTGATACATCGCAAAAAAAAAAAAAAAATTGGTATGTGGCCAGAAACGGTTACATCAAAAAACAAACAAGAAAATAGAAAGCTTCGATTAGCAATTGAGATGATTTTTAGATTAGAGCTTTTGTTTCTTCTGTATAATAAAAAGAAAGGTAATAATTATAACAGAAAAAATTACCATGCACCTAGTTGTTGGTAAAATACATTAATACCTTCATACGGCCTAGGTCACTTAATTTGTTAGGGGGCCATGTTCTACACAAATATAGAGGTTGTTTGGCATGGAAGCGTTTCAGGCCCATTCATTTCTTTAAAAATCGCCTGATGGTCAAAAAATGTTTTTGGACTGTTTGAACCAAAATCTGTTTAGTTCTGTTTCATGCCACATCAGCATTAAAAAAAACGTTTCAACTAGAATCGGCTGTGAGTGCAAGCTGTTTTTCTTTAGTGTTTTTTTGTAGTTGACATTATCCCGTGCTAAGCATGTGCATGGGATGCACAAATATGTTCTAATCTAACAATTAAAGATTTTAATACAACAAAAATATATTGAAATCCATTCATTATTCAACTAAATAAAATTACAAATTTTATTAAAAAATTATTCCACATATAAATTATTATTAAACAGCTATTAATCATTGAAATAATGATTAAAATGCTATTATTACATTCATCAGCTTATTTTTTTCCATAAAATCCCTCTCAGACATCTTACCAAAACTTCCTACATCAAATCTTTTCCACCACCTCCATCCTCTTAGACCACCCTTAACCCCTTCCATTTTCCATAACAGAGCCTACGTTTCAGCTGTTAATGTAAAAATAAAATAAAACAAAATATAACAAGCAACAAATAGGGTTCGGAGGAGACCTTCCCTTGGTGGTAGAAACAATAGGAAACAAGTCCAGTGACGGTGATATTGGCTGCAAAAAAAAAAAAAATAAATGCTAGTATTACGACTCAAACCGGAAACAAGTCCGGCAATGGCGGACCGGCAAAAAAATCTCCATAGATTACCTTCTTGCAGATCAGGGTCGAGAAGTTGGTGAGCTTCACAGCGGTAAGAGAAATGAGGAGGAAGAGGGAGAAAAACCCTCTTGATGGGTTTTAGGAGGGTGGTTGTGTTTATGGTGAGATGTGATGCACCGTAACACTTTTAATCTGACGTGGCTAGTTGCTAACAGGATGGACAAACATTTTTGAATTGGCAGTGTGATTCAAGAAACGTCAGAAAGTCGTTTCAACTAAAAAGTAAATTCACAAATCCCAAGGCAGAATCATTTTTTGACTGTTTCTTCATAAAATGCCTTTCCCGATGCATTTTTTTGCCGATTCCGTTTATTTGCTGATATATCATGCCTGCCACCTCAGCAGAAATGGAACGCTTATAAAACGCTCCAGTGCCAAACACCATCATAGTTAAATATAAATAAAAGAAGGGCTTCTAAAAACGATGAATTGCATTCGCTTACATGTTATTAACAAATTATTACAAAGTACTATTAACAGCAGGACACACGCACAAGGCATGCTATGCAGCTGAGGCAGAATGGAAGACACTCCTAACAGGGCTTGAGGAAGCAAGAATGAGAAAGATACCTTCTTTGGCAGTTCTGTCAGATGCTCAACGAGCATGATGGATCTTGTAAGCAGAAAGATAACAAGTTGCACTTGGCAGGAGAAGCTATATCTTGACCAGATTTCCAGCTTACTCAAATGTTTTGATCAATGTAATATATATTATGTAAATAGAAAGGAAAATGATCTAGCTCATAGTTTAGCTTATAAAGTGTGTAAAGAGGGAAATTCTAGACAATTCCAATTCCCTCTGTTCTTCGTTTTGCCAAACAAAAGAAAAACAAAGAAAAAGAAAAGTTTCCTATTTTTAGTAATATGAAAGACAAAAGTGGAACTTGGTATGGTGAAATAAGAATCTTGGTGGGAGAAGTTGTTGCTTAGTTAGCAAGATAAGTAAAAAGAAAGACTATAAATTGTAGAATTCTGGTATGTCCACAAGAGAAGGATGGATCAGGGAGATCCTTGATGCAGCCCGTTGATGGTGCCTTTGACCTTGGAATCTTACTAATACCAAAGTAGCATGCAGCTCATGGGACTCCCAAAGCAAGTCAATTTGTCCGCCGCTTTCACTTTTCAGTGAATAAAAGCATGAATAGCACAAGGCAGGAGAGGAGCTACCAAAAATTGAAAGATTTGCTACAAGAAAAGCATAGAATAGAAGCCAACGTAAATACATATATATACCTGTAGTTATATACTCTTCCTAAACTGATCCTAAATCAAGGGACATCTACATTCTACCCTTTTGACTATGAGATGATAAATCGTGGAAGTCATTTGGATTGGTAACTTTGTATTTCAATAATCGATAAGAGTGAACCCAAGTCTTCGTTAGCGAGCAACAAGAGCAAGACAGCAAGTACTACAGAAGTACAACCGAACCTCCTGAACTGCGAATAGTGTCGCTGCTAGAGTAGAGACGTAGACGGTAGAGCTTGCAGGGCAGCCTTGCACGATGGGTGTATTATTGCCTTAAAAGGAAATATCGGGAGACAAAAAGCTCCACATGTGAATAACCCGAAAAAAAAGCACGTTGTATATAACTACAGATGGCATTTTGTACGAGTATTGAAATCTCAAAAACCAAGCAAATGGTTCCTGACGACCTGATCTGAAAGCTCATTGAAGTTTGAACTACCAATGGAGAAGGTCCATTAGATTCCTCCGGCCTGGGTCCTGGGCAGTCCATGGCGCTTCTTCATCTGTGTCACATTTTAAACAAAATGCAGAATCTCTGGTTGGCAACGATAGCACTCTCCAAATACAAGTTTTGTTCTTGTACACAAATCCTTGCTTTCTCATTTTGATAAAACATGCAACAGTAGACACTGTTGAATGATATCACCTGCTCGCAGCATCACTAGCACTTTATGACATAAATACCCACAGCTTTGGTGTCTTAAATCTTGAAATTGACAAACTTTGAAACTAGACAAAAAAGTAAAGTTACACAAGCTAAGTTGCACCTGAGAGTCGTAAATATACGTGCATGTACAAGTGTGCCCCTGTGAACGTAGAAATGACATGGGCATACCGTCTCAAATGGGTCAAAACTCAAAATAACTGAAAGTGTCTGCCTGATGATGTGTGTTGTTTGCAGTCGAGATTTAAAAGGTTGAAATCTTTTGCACGAGCCATCTGCTAGTTATACTCCCAACATGAAGCTTTCCCCAGTCATTCCAGCTATAATTTCTTCCCTGTTGAGCATATGGGAAGTTAAAAAGAAAGAAAAAACCACTTTTAGAATCTAATGAAAGAATAAGTTAAGGTTAGCAGCAGCATGAATTTTCACAGTAGTAATTTCAACTTACGATTGGGAATTTCTAGAAATGGAAAAAAAAAAAAGGTTCACTAATCACTACCACTAATACTATGTCCTATCCAGCGAGAAACTGGCACGGATATGGCACATAACAATCTCTTCTTGTAACCCACCAAAAACTCGGTAATCCAGCACCAACGATGCATTGGAAAGCAAGAATAATCCAATGGAAGGATGAATGACACAAAACCAACTAAAGAAGTATATTAACACAGAGATGTAATTGCCATCATGATGACCCTAAAACTTGAATTAAAAGTTACTATCCCTGCACTAAGAATGATGGGATATCTCTATCAAAAAAATAATCATGGGATTTTATTTGGAGATGACCAAGTAGACGCTTGCTCAAGGATGTAGAGTAGAAAAAAGAAATAAATAGAAATGTAAAACAAAATAAATAACAGCTAAGAAAACAGAAAAGAATATGTAGACAACAACCACTCACACAAATGTACATGTAGAACATGGTGCCTCATGGTTCATGATGCAAAATCAAGTTTTATGGGCTAGGTGAGACACTTTCACTAATGGGAATGCCTGTTTATAACATATTTTGGTTAATTATTTACACTTTATAGAGAAACCCACACAACATCAAAATCGCTCAAGACTGCGGTTCAATCAACAGACAAGTCACACCTTTAATGAGATGGCATTCCCAAGCGTAGAAGATGCTGTGTTTATTTCAACACATGGAATAATTTTGTGTTTGTTTTCCTTTTCTTATCAGCAACAGAAATCTGGAATTTTATTAATAAAGTATGACGAAAACCCCCAAATTTAGAAAGTGTTTCAAATGGAATGAACCAGTACAAACCAAGGCTGTTATTCAAACTAACAGGGGTGATAACACAACAACCAATTGCCCCATATAATAAATGAAAAAGCAGTTTGATGATGCACCAGTCCAGGAATCTCCCATTCAAGTTCATGCCTGCCCACGCTTCCTCTAGCCAAAGAATCACCAAAAACAGTAACCACCCTATAAATCCACCTCAATGAACCATTCAGCAGATATGCTGACATTTTGGCTTCTCTAAGAAGATGTCTGAATTGCCATAGGCCTTCCTCCCTTGGAAGGCATCCATACGATGACAACTAAACAGTGTCCTTCATAATTAGACTGCTTAACCAAATTGAAGTTATCATGGAGAAAAGACAAAGTACCAGCTCCAAGTTTCCATATCCCACTGTACTCAAAAACTGTATAGTATAGAGACTAGAGAGTCACTATGGTTCCTCAAAGATCCCCCAATCCTGGATTGCCCAAAGAACAACCATCAAAATTGAATTTAATTTCAGACTCTCTGACGGAGGGCCAAAATCTGCTATAAAATGAGTTCCATGCCAATTCATGGGTCCCACTGTAGCAACTGGATGCATGAAGAAGCACTTACAGGTCTAGCGTTGTTAGATACACTCAGCAGCTGGGTAAAAATCTCCTCTTTTGGAAACTTTGAAGAAAACAGCGTTATTAGATCCACTCGGCAGATAATAATCTTAGTTGCCAAGTTTATTATTCGTCTGTGCCATATCCAGTTTTGAGTTTATTTAGGGATATATTTACTTACTTGTAGGTCATATTTAACGATTTAAAAAAGTCAATAATCTATTCTGATAAGCATATTTCACCCTATGAGCCTACAAATAAGGTGGAAACAATTGTAAGGAAATTAGAAAAAGAATCACATTTAGGCTAGAGGGTGGAAATTCATACCAGAAGCTCAACCACTGAATCACATAGGTCTAGTCATCCATAGATGAATCTATCAGACAATCAATGCACAATAATAGTGTTCCCTATCATTTTATTGTGTTAAAGAATTCATATAATCCAACTTCATTTTCCAAAACAATCCATGGCAACCCAAGTCATAAATAAAAGTTTTTTCATAGCAAAGCAACTCCTTCTAAACTTCACTTCTCATTGTTCAAGCTCTTTTTGAGAATGCAGAGCTTCAACCCCACCCCACCACCCAAAAATAAATAATGGCCAGTAATTAAGGTTCAGTTATTCTTGAAATTGGAACTATTCAAAACAGGTTAAAACGATTGACCAACGACCAATTTCTGGAATCTAATTGATTTTTTTATGATTTTAAAATCGGATAACCAACTTTTTTGATTGGCAATTAATTTATTAATGGAAATTGTGTAGTTGTCAAAATGATTCATATACAAAATAAGGAAATTAACTTCACTCTGTGTAGCCCACTTTCATCCTCTTTTGCTCACCTTTTTTGCTGATGTAATGGGTGGTGTGTGCCTGAGAAAATAAGAAACAATTCACATTGAAGAATACATTGATGAATGCCTTCATTCCAATGGRGTGATGATCACTTCTCCAAAAAATCAACCAACTGCTGCAAAACTCTCAAATATCGTTCTCATTAACAATTTGATTTTGACCATTATATGGTCAGCAAAAAAAAACATGAAAGCAAACTAACAGGGGAGAGCTATAACTGCTCAACAATTTGCTCCACTTTCTTGCTTGCTTCCAACATTTGGAATATTTACTATGCTAGAAGATCCTTTTATCTCACCTCTATAACTGTTGGTTCTAATAATTATACGAATCTTCTTTCTGGAGTACTAATACTATCAGTTTCCGAGTGCACCAAAAAATTTTGATTCATTTCTTACAATATCCATTTCTGTGAATCACTATGCAGCATCTGTAAAAGGAAGCCATACCCAGTTAAAACGGAGTCTGGAGATCAGGATTGTCATGAACAGGACAGACTTGCTATTATGATGGCCCAGCAGACTAGCTTCAAGCCCCTTCTGAATAAATTCCCGGAACTGACCTCTAAGGTCACAAACTGCACTAGGAGAATGGAAAGTGTGGGGTTAAACCAAGGTTTAAAGTATCGATATGTATCATAGTGTATCATGCGTATTGTATCGGTATCCAAGGTCACCTAAACCCAAAATATTGACAATTAGAGGATATTAACAGTTTCAGCTGTTAACTTCCATCCTAATAAGCCCATTTTTAAATAACAAACTGAAAACCAAAAAAGAGTATCAACCAATCGATATGCACAATACGCACTTTTTTGATATCAAGCAAATTGATAATTTGAACCTTGGGTTATACTGACAAATAGGTTGCTCCACAAAGCTAACTATATCTCCAGATCTCCAAGAAATATGCATACATTATCTTCCACTTAGGCCAAGTGATTTAACTGCTATCAGACTGTAGCCAAGTCATGAGAATAATAGTGTAAAAATGAAATGCCATGTTCTGCACTTTGTCAAAGCTCAAAAGCCTTCACTATGAACAAAAACTCTCCATAAGAGTTCATAAAAGCAAAGTTCTTTAAATCAGAAACCAGATCATGCATAAAAGATAATCAGAAGCAGCTCAGCTTCTCCTCTGACAGAGATTACACCTTTCATATCAGCACATGGTGTTTGTCTCTCTTCCCACAGCACATTACTTGTGTGAGATAAGAGGAGTGTTTTGGCCAATAAAAATACTAAGCACTGGAATAATATGGGTAGAGCAAAAAACGGAACAGATAGCATTTCCCTAAGAATATGTACAGGAGGTATTCAGCAATCAAATCATTGAATGAAGTATTGATAACCCAAGCCCATCTGGTATAGGAGACATTTCAAGAGACAGCAATGACTTGATACTTGCTCTGTTCTTGGGCCCTAAAGGCAAGAAGACTCAACAAGGACTGAAGTGACCAAAGCACTTCAAAGCTTAAGGCTAGCAATAAATTTGAATCTCAGGAATCTAAGTATTGAAGGTGACTCACAGGTGGTAAATAAAATGGTCAGAACATAGGCAGCTCTCACAAGTCTGAGGAGGCTAAAAGTTTTGAATTTGAAGGTGGAAGTGGAAGGGGACTAAGGAACAATCACAGCTTTTGGCTCTTCACAAATTTTCAAAAGGCACACGCCTACTTGCCGCTTTTTCCATTTTTTTGAGTCTGGCCGCTGGGCCGGGGGCTCCGCCCCCGGATCCCCGTGCCACACCCCTCGAGGCCAGCCCAAACAAGGCCATGTTAGGGTCTTAAATTCTTAGTTTTCACACAAAAAAATAGTAATTTTATAGTTTTAATTGCTTTTAAGAAGATATTTTATTAGGGTGAATGAATGGACAACATTACCAAATAGGGGATTCTCGAAGCTTCGGTAGCGGCTTGTAGAATTAGGAATGTAATATGTCACATTAGCTACTTGATGCAATTAAGAAAAAAAAAAAAAAAAGATTGTGAGTTTTATATGCTTGAAAATGTTTTATATGTTTGATTTCATTTTTAACTTCCCATTTGAATATGCTTTACATATTATATTTATGTATTTTAATTTTAGATAATAGGTTTTTTTTTAACTCAAGTTTATATTTTTATTAATATTATGTTTTATAATTTTTTGCACTTTTTTATTTTTAGCTTTTTTTTTAATTTTGCGCCTTGGCTCAAAAAGGCGCACGCCTCGCCTTGCGCTTTTAAAACACTGAATAAAACATTTACCATTACTCATAGAAAAAAAGGTATTGAAGGTGACTCTAGAATGATTGTTGGTTGGCTAATGAACAATAGTAGAGCCTCATGGCAATAACGGAGCATTATTGGGGAGATAAAGGAGCTCAAAAATCATGAATGTCCCAATGGGTACATCAATCAGAAAAAATTGGATGATGCTTTACTAAACAAGGTGTAAACAGAAAGATTTGGTGGCCTTCTCCAGATGGCTTGTTTTCCACTAAATCCTTCTATAGTGTGTTGACTTCTAGGACAACTAACTCCCCTTCCCCACATAGAAAGATTTGGCTTTCTGTAGTCCCCCCAAGAGTGTGCTTCTTTGTTAGGGAGGCTTATTGTGGCAGTATTAATACTTGTGATATGATTCTGAGAAAGAGAAAAAGAAACCTTTATGTTGCTCTTCATATCTACGTTATGTGCATGAAAGACGGGGAGTCGTGTGGTCACCTTCTTATAAATTGTGAAGAGCCAAAAGCCTCTGGCAATTCATTTTGGACACCTTCTATAGAGGTAGTTTTCACTGGACCCCTCCAAATTCAGTGTCTGGCCTTCTCTTACAATGGTCTGGATAAGTGTTTTAAAAGGCGTGGGAGGCATATGCCTGGAGGCGCAATTCATTTTGGACACCTTCTATAGAGGTAGTTTTCATTGGACCCCTCCAAATTCAGTGTCTGGCCTTCTCTTACAATGGTCTGGATCAGTGTTTTAAAAGGCGTGGGAAGCGTACGCCTAGAGGCGCAATTCATTTTGGACACCTTCTATAGAGGTAGTTTTCACTGGACCCCTCCAAATTCAGTGTCTGGCCTTCTCTTACAATGGTCTGAATCAGTGTTTTAAAAGGCGTGGGAGCCTCTAGGCGAGGCGCTCCCAAAACACCTTGAGACGTATGCCAGAGGTGTTGGTACCTCTGAGGCATACTCCTCAGGTGCAAGAGGTGTATGCCTCCTGCGCTTTTTTCATGAGGTGTGCTAGAGGCGTACGCCTCTTGTGCCTCATGCACACCTGATATGAAAATACAGGAAAAAAAAAAGAAAAAAAGGAAAGGAAAGGAAAGGAAAAGAAAAGAAAAGAAAGGGAAAGAAAAGGAAAGGAAAGAAGAAAAAAAAGAGAAMAGGAAAGAAAAGAAAAGAAAAGGAAAGGGAAGGGAAGGGAAAAAAAGATAAGGAGAAAGAAAATGGTTTGCCCCCTGCCCCTTCGGCTGGGGGGCCCTTCGCTTCGACAAAACCCCCCCCTTTGAACTACTGTTATGCATCTTTATTCTTCTTAATATAAAAGATTTTTATTAAAAATAAAGAAAAAAATGAGATCCCCCCTTCCTCTTCATCCTCCTCCTAACCCCCCTCCTCTTAAGAAGGCTTACGCCTCCTTGTGTTTGGGAGGCTTACGCCTCTTGCATTCTGAATTATGCCTCACGCCTCTAGGTAGTGGAACGCCTCACGTCATGCCTCCCCGTTTTAAAACATTGGTCTGGATGTACCTCAAGTAAAAGAGGTGTTCTCTACGGAAAGGCGATCATCCATGCAATTTACTGGTGCATTTGGGAGGAGAGCAACAAAGAAATTTTAAAGATAAGTATTCTTCCTTGGATGAGCTAAAAGGAAGGGTGCTTTTTCAAATTAACTCTTGGATGAAGGTGTCTAGTCTGTTCAGAGGTATCTCAATGGGAGATCTAGAAAGAAACTTGGGGCCGATTCTGAGCTCTTCAAGTTTAGAAAGAGTTCTCACATTTCCTGTGACTCCCAGACATCCTGCAGACTTCATCCTCCAGTTTGATGGCAGTTGCTTTAGTAGACTTAATCACAGAGGTCAGGCTGGTATAGGTGGCAGAATTTTCACGTCTCTAGGCACTCAAGTTTGGGCCTTCAGTGGCCCCATTGGAGAGGCTGAAGCTGTTGAAGCTGAGGTACAGGCCCTGCTGACGGGGCTGAGATGTGTAAAATCCTTGAACATCTCCAGTTATGGTGGAAGGTGATCCAAAGGTAAATGAAATCAGGGTTATTCAATCACCGATCCATTGTGTCTTCAGGTGGATTCCAAGGAATTTGAACTCAGTAGCAGATGCTCTGGCGAAATCTGGAGGTGAGCAGGACTTTTTGTACAGCAATATACAGCTTCCTCTTTAATAGGTTGGGAAGGCTTTTTGTTTCATTTTTTGTTTTGCTTCTATTTGATCATTCTCATATACATTTTGTATATCCTTCCCTTGTTTTAATGAAAGTTTCCTTTACTCAAAAAAAGAAAGGTGTAAACAGAAACCGGCCTTATTGGGAAATGGAGGGATTCTGTGATGTAAGCAGAAGTTGTAATTTGCGGGGTGGGGTAGGTGGCTCTTCTTTGTTATTCATCAAAAAAATTGATGAATATTTTTTTTGGTAAACGAATGTTTCATGTGGCTTCATGTAGCGTGTACATGTATTTGGGAGAGGGCCAGAAGGTTAATTGGGTCGTCAAAGAAGGCAAAAGGAGTGATCCAGAATTTTCCACCCAGCATGATGGCTTTGGGTCCAAAAGGTTCCACATTTTCTTCTCACTGACCTCTGCTCATGGACAAATTTCAGCTTCACGCCCCTTAGCACATGACCCAAACAAGCCCTTGCAGGAATCTATTGAAACTTTTAACATCTGGTACAACTTGAGGAAAACCAAATACAAGGTAGGATATATTACTACGAAGGTTCCAAACCAATCATAGTAGTAAAATGTGAAGACTCGTGTAATGTTATAGAATATTCTTGGCTTACAGTTTTCCAAGGATGGTTGTGATTGTGTGCAATGAGGCTAAGAGTAAAACTTACATTAGGTTGGATTGGGAAAATATTAAATTTTAAATGGTCCTGACCCTAACCCTAGTGCAATGTAGTTGAAATTCTTCTAAGTGAGGCCCTGTTTAAAAGAAAATGGGGAAAAAAAGAAAAAGAAAATATTCTTTTCAGTTCAGCCACTTAAGCTGCTATCAAACAACCCTTAATTTTAAAAACATATCATTTTATGATTGATCAATATACAAGTAAATGAAGCATAACTGTAAACATCTCACAAAAAATTCCCTTCTTCAATTTCTATGCATTAGAATGATACCAGTTGGGCCTGCAAGGCTGCAACGAGAATCTAAGGCAGCACTTAGAATGATAACATTGGACCAGCAACTAGCATCTAAGGTAGCACTTGGTAGCAGTTTCCTTGAATATTTATGGCACTTCAGGAACAGAAAAAACAATTGTTTTCTGCTCCCATAACACCTGAAACATTCCATTGGAATGTTACCAAGCACCATCATACTCTATCTCGATTTTTTCCATTTTCCATCTCTTAACACAAACATTTGAAACATGCTAATGCCCCATGTGAATATGGCAATTTTTCATACACCTTATGAATATAGTAGAGATAATAGACACAAAAAAAATTGCCTACCTAAATACGTGATAAGGCTATGAAATAGAAATATTACACACAATAGCACATTCATGTGCAGTTGCTAAACCACTCCAATGATATGCTTACCCATTGTGCCCCTCACCTCAAGCCTTGCAGGTACTAGGCACACCAAGCAAGCACCGCCCATTGGCTGACACAAGACACTATCTTAGTGCTAGATGACACTTTAAGTACTCAACTCATCCTTTAGCAAACAAAGCACAATAACCTTCATAAAGTTGCAATCTCAACACAACCTCAATTGATTGTAGAGATACATATACACATAATTACACATGACACACAACATACGTATTACATACATATATGCATGTGTCTATATATGTATTTATGATTGTTTTTTCTTACTGGGGCACAGTTTTCCAAACAAGCATATAACTTCTATGGCAAAGGAAACTCTGCCAACATTGTTAGATGGAGTGAAGGTGTAGTTGGGGACCATGGAGATTTTCTCATCACCTCCATGAACCTGGGAGGTTTTGGCTTTTATTTCAATCCAAATTAGATAGATTCTAAGATCGTTAAAATCAAACCACAAATGGCCTAGCCAGATCAGATGTGTAGAGAAGCTCAACAGCTGATTAGATTTAATTGATGTAGGGCTATATGGTCATATTTTTTGTACATCATTTTCACAGTATATTCATTTAAACATTCTCCCCACTTAAATTCTATTGACACTCAGCAAACAGCATTTATTAAAGAAAGATCAACCATAAAAACCAATTCTTGAACTTGTACAGCAACATCTCAATCCCTAAATTATTTCATTGGAGGGGGGCTAGTATATAGTCATTATGCTTACCACTTAACATCTTGGCATGTGCACCTTTCTACTCTCATAGTCTGATAGTTTTCAAGGCGCCAAGGCGAGGCTAGGCGATAGGGGGCCGCCTTGTCGCCTAGGCTAGGCGATGGATTTTTTCAAGTGAAAAATACATATTATAGGTAGTTCCCTAGGTTCCATAACCATTTTTCCTTAATAACTATCCATAATTTTCATAAGAAAATTATAAACTTCATGTTTATGTCTAGAAAATCAAATTTTGGCATGTGCACCTTTCTACTCTCATAGTCTGATAGTTTTCAAGGCGCCAAGGCAAGGCTAGGCGATAGGGGGCCGCCTTGTTGCCTAGGCTAGGCGACGGATTTTTTTAAGTGAAAATACATATCCTAGGTAGTTCCCTAGGTTCCATAACCATCTTTCCTTAATAACTATCCATAATTTTCATAAGAAAATTATAAACTTCATGTTTATGTCTAGAAAATCAACATATTTATGAGAAGAAAAAGAAGAA